TTTATTGTGCAATATTTACTGCTATCTCCACCACATGAAATGTTTCTGGAGAACGAATTCGACATAGGACGACTAACGATTGTGGACAACTGTACAAATTTTATAAGAGAGACATTGATCTACTGATCAGAAAAAAATACATCAGCGATAATAGGTGGACCAAATATTATCATAGAAATAGACGAAGCAAAATTTGGTAAACGAAAATATAATCGAGGACGGATAATTGACGGTATATGGTATATGGTGTTTTAGTGGTTTTAAATAATAGAAAATTCTAAATAGTAGAAAATTCTTCGTTGAATCCGTAAAACGTCGAGATATTAATACACTTGAAGAAATAATAAAACGTCGTGTAAAACCAGGATCGATTATTATAAGCGATTGTTGGAAAGCTTACAATAATCTAGGTAATTTAGATAGGACAATTCGTATTTATGCGGCTTTGCAATTTAATATACATATAACTTATGATATCATCTGTATATCATGTTAAAATGTATACCATTAAAATCGAAATAATCCGAATAGTGTTAACTTTAAATTACGATTTCTCTTTATTTCACTGCAGGTTATCGTTATTTGACAATAAATCATAGTCAAAATTTCATAAATCCAGGTACGCTCACACACAAAATATCAAGCGATCTTGGCGTGATGTGCGCGGTCTATTACCAAAGTATGGTCGAAAAAAGGAACATATGGCCGGATACATAGCTGAGTTTATATTCCGACGTACTTTTCCTGGTCATTGTGAACGTGTCCATGAATTTTTTTCATTATTGTCAACGTTCCATTCCGATCTTATGTCTAATACAAATAACGATTAGAGATGACGTAGAAAAAGTTATGTTTTTGTTTTTTTTATAAATTCCTAAGTAAAAAAGCTGTGTGTTACCTGTTTTTAGTTGTTTTCTTGGAGCGTCCCGTTTGCTCATGTCCCGGTTACTCACGTCCATTCACAGCGACTTGTGATTAGCTGGTTTGGATTAGATATGGGTTAGGTTAGGATAGAATTTAAACTTCTACTTTTTTATTTGCATGAAAATTGGCAAATTAATTAAATAGAATAAAAATGATACGGCTAAATAGATATTCTGAAAACCTATAACTTTTGTCTGAAACATTATCCTCAAAAATGCTTTTTTTCGAGATATTCGACTATTTCCACAATTTTGTCCCATCCTGTATATATAGGTGTTTACGAATTCCACCGACAAACTCATAGGATGTATTTGTGGTGAACAGAGGATCAATTTTTTATTATGTTTATTTGGTCAGATCTGCCTCGCTACGGAGATATCGGGCGTGAAAGTCAGTGCAGTCATGAAACGTAAAAAAGACGTTGATACAGAGAGTGCAAAACAACTTTATTGAGTATTGTTAGTAGTTACAACAAGTGTTCGAAATTTCGTTCATTAACTTCAATGCACAATTCACATCGGGGAATCATTGAGCGGCGTATCCGCTCAATAACCTTATCTCACTTTCTTCACTGACTTTCACGCCCGATAATTCCGTAGCGAGGCAGATCTGACCAAATAAACATAATGAAAAATTGATCCTCTATTGACTACGAATACATCCTATTAGTTTGTCGATGGAATTCGTAAACACTCTATATATATGTATATATATATATATATATATATATATATATATATATGTATATATGTTTATTTATTGTAAAATATTTTGTATAATCTGTTGGTTACTCGGATAAAGACTTTTTGTAATTTCCTTTACACTTACAGCAAAAATATTAGTATTCATAAAATAAAAATTAACTGTTTATACAATAAATTAATAAAATTTTTATGTTAACTTTGTATAATCTCTGTAATTTTTTATAAAACTTATAGATTTTTAGAATAAGATTTTTTATAAGATTTCTATGTTTTTCCCATCAAGGCCATAACAATATATTACTGTAATGCATTTATGCTATTGAGATCTGTAACGGTTGCATAATCACTGAATTAATCTTTTTCAGATACTTAAGCATTATAATTAAAACTAAATTGTTTTCCACGCTTTACTTCATATTGTTTACTTCATTTTGTCATATTGTCAACTCCTAATTCATAATTTACGTATTATAATTTGTAATATTGAATGTATGTTTACGGAAAATGACATAGTAGGGGAGACTGTCTAATTGTCACACTTTTTTTGATAAAAATAAAACGGCGTATGCAATATTTCAGAATGTTGAGTATATTGTAATATAGCTATATTTTTTGGTACAAGAAAAAAAAATATAAACCATATTTATATTAATGCATAAAGTATGCAGTCATAAGCAAGATCATAAGTAAAAATATGACATCCCACCCTATACTCTGGGTCAATTGTCACATGTCTTCTATATGGAGAAAACACGACAAATAATTCTTGTTGTAACAGTGTTTATAAAGTTATAGTAAAATTAATTATATATAACCATGTATCGCGATATATAATCACGTATATTTATTGATTTAAAATTGTATTTGTATATATACACATACATATACAACAGTTATATCAACAGAAACCAACACAAACTCAGATCTACTGAGTATTATATTTCGATCTTTCCTTGATACAATTTACAGGATATTTTTAAGAAATCTTTCAAACAAGAGAACTTCATGAGCTCTTTTAGTAGATGTCTCTGGAACATGATGATTATTCGATATCATTTAGACATTATTTCCGAGATATCAAAATGTGTTTCTAAAAAAATTATCTTTCAGTTCTCATCCTGACAATATTAAATTGATATCATTTGACATTATATTACAAAGAGAATATTTTCAAGAAATCTCTCAAACGGGATAACTTTAAGAGCTCTTTCAATAGATGTCTCGGAATGTGATGATTATTAGATATCACTTAGATATCATTTCCGAGATATCAAAATGTATTCTTAAGAAAGTTACCTTTAAGTTCCCTTTCTGACAAGCATGTTGACTGGGTACAGAGAAATTACGATTAGTAATCCCAAAACAAACAAAACATTAAAAATAGGAACCAACAAGAATTTACTCCTATATTCGATTAAAAAAAATTATATTAAATATCACATGCGATGCTTTGGCTACAAACCATTTCGTACAACTAATTACAATGTTACAGGCAACCTACACTATAGAGGTGAAAATTCTCCTCTATTTATTACAGTCTGTCAAGTAAGAGCGTGTGCGGCATAACTAGCAGTCAGTAAAAGATATCGCCCTAATTCTTTCGTGAGTGGATAGAGGGAACTTTTGCTCTTCATGCATTGTCAAGAAAGATTCAGTCGACATTAAAGTTTTGTCAGATAAACACGTAAAACACCATGAGTGCCGCGTACGCGTCGCGCTACGAGGCTGTGTCTTCTGTTCCTACCGAAAGAGCCGAAAATGTCTCATGCAGCGGCTGCTAAATATATGGGGAAGTCGAAATTATTCATAAGTGGGTTCAACGATATAAAGAGACGAAAACTGTCGATGACCTGAATGGTTCGATAGGCAAAATGTCCCCTAAAGCCAATAAAATGATAGTAAACTTGTTTTCGCGGAATCCTGGTTTAACACTGCGTCAAGGAGCAGCAAAATTGAAACAGAAAGATTTAGATATAATATACGAAGCTATCTGAATTCATCTCCGTGAAATATATTTATTTCATAATAAATATATTTCATGATATCAAATGGCGCAATAAAAACTGTTGTTAGGTGACGAACACGTAACGAAGCGACTCGCTTGAGCGAAGGACAATATTGACCGAGATTGGAACAATATAATTTTTATGGACGAAGCTTTTGTTTGGGGATATGTTATCATTCCACGGTCAACTTCCACCAACAGGTTGGTACAGCGGACCGTTAAACACCCAGTAAAGGTGCATCTTAGGGGCTTTTCATCGTTCTGCTTTTCAAAACTGGCTTTCGGAGCTTTGCATCTGTTTATATACAATCTGAATGCTTCGAAAATGCTCAAAATATGCAAAAAAACCTTTATTACCGACTGTCGAACGTTGATTCATCAAAAACAACGAGAACTGGATCCTGCAGGAAGACAACGATCCAAAATACCGCAGCAAGCTCTACACCGAGTGGAAGAAGCAGTCTGACATCTTTATACTTGATTATCGCAGTCGCCCGATGTAAACCCAATCGAGAATGTGTGGGCATACATCAAGCATAAGCTTTGTAGAAGAAAAGTATTCACTTTGAAGCAGTTAACTCGAGAAATTCGTTGCATTTGGAGGTCCTTACCACATGAATACGCCGTCAACTTGGTCGAAAGCATGCCTCGAAGATGCTAGGTAATTATCGACATCGATGATGACTGGACGCATTATTAATATAATTGCATTTTTGTTCGAATAAAGTACAAAGTATCCATGTATTTGAAAATTGTATTAAATAATTTTTTTCTACAAATTAACCCGCACACGCTTTTACTTGACAGACTAAGTGAGGTATAAGCTTTGTGCCAACTGACCCGTGTGACTTTCAGCTCTGGTCTTCTCTACAAGAAAAATTTCATTGTGATCAGTTAGAATAAGTACGTTTACCGAGGAAGAGTTGTAGCACAATATATTACAATTACAATATATTACGCAGTACTCGTTACGATGTTTAATCGTGCATTTAATTCGGATACACGCATTAAATACCTTATTAACGACCAATCGTTGCGCTCCGTATATGCTCGTTTCGAACAAGGTGACAAGTACGTGTTTTGATCATTAATCTTCAAAGATCTCTATCCCGTTCGTGTTTCTATTTTATGTTAGAATATAAAATAGAAACACGAACGGGATAGAGATCTTTGAAGATTAATGATCAAAACGCGTACTTGTCACCTTGTTCGAAACGAGCATATACGGAGCGCAACGATTGGTCGTTAATAATTTCCGTGAATGATATTTGCATATACAAATGTATGATTCAATCTGCATGCAAATCAAGTGAATACTAATGTATACAGCGTATTCAATAAAGAGCACAATAATCGAACTCAACAGATAAAATTGATTCGATTTATTGAATTACAATATTTATTTATTTTTATAATACACTACTTATATAGTAATATAGCATAAGAAGCAATAACGAATATCCGTCCTACGAATTACGTACACCATAATTATTATTATTGTTGTTATTCCATTTTTAGTATATAAACTTTCAGTCATCAAAAAAATATTGGAACAAAATTTATTTTATTATTGGTTCTCTAACTATTACTACTATGATTATTCAGTATTCTTTAAATCTGTATTGCCAAAAATACGTGTCGTCGATATTGTAATTTTTTTGTCCATCCGAGCGATGCATCTCCCTCATTAATTCTTATTCAGGTTGTAGATTTGTACTGATATATATCGATTAGAATTTGCTACAGAGAGAAAGAGACAAAGAGATAGAGAAAGAGAAACATTTAATAGTAAGAAATTGATCTTGTTGCGGTTTCTTTGTAGTACCATTAATATCTGATATTCACACCGAATAAATTTTGCACTTTGATCGTGCAAATACTTCTAAGAAAAACAGATAAGTTAAAAGAAATCGATAACCACTTATTCCGTAAAATTAAAACAGGTTCAATTTCACAGACACGTTATATATCGATTCCTTCTAATCTACTTATTCTCAATTTTCCTTTCGGAGATTAGCACAATAGACAGATCTGGAATGTGAATTTAGGGCGCTACGCTTACGATCCCATATAGGGATTTATTCTTTTTTCGACATCAGTTGTTATTATATAGTCACCACCTTAACATTAAGTTTTGCTTTGATCGATTCACCTTCTCCGTATTATTGTTGCGATATATATTCCTTGTAATCGTGAGATTTTATGGAATACATCTCTGTGACAAAAATATTACCTTTTATATTGAACATATGTACTCGATAGGGGAGAGGCATTACATTACTTTGCGCGAGAAATTTTTTAAAAAACGTACAAAATCCGCGTTATACAGAAAATCAGTGCGGGATATGAATCGGCAATCTAAAGTATTCCGTTAAGTGCGCCATACATGCATAGAAGCGACCACGATCAGAACGATAGTCACCCACGGAGATCTTCAATTTTGTAATCTATTATTGTAATCGTTATTACTTTTATCTTTATCATATTTTACAATAATTATAATTAGATATCTATTGTTTCCTTTCACAGGACGATCGCGGATGTTAACTACGAGTATCCCATAAATAACTGTGCCGAGATCTTGATTTTGTAATCGGACTTTTCATCGTCTAGCATAAATGTCTTATCGACTAAAATATACAGTTGAGTAGAAATATTTTTTTTGCAAGAAGCTCGTACATCTTATTGTATAGTTTTTGAAAGAAATCTCCCAATATATTATGACACAATCGTGTGTATGTATGTATATATGTGTGTGTACATGTATACATAAATACAAAAAAATATATATATGTATATACACACACATATCATACGTGTGTGTGTGTGTGTGTGTGAATATATATGTATATATATGGATACATAATTTCTAATTTATATGTTATAAACGCTATCTACTTTGAAGACTACATGAGACATGAGACATAAAAATAACCGCTAAAAAAACTTTCGACTGTTCTATTAAAATATTAGAAAATCTTCATCTTAATATGCATGCCTTAAGACGAATAGGATTATAATAAGTAATGGCGAATAATCTTGTTTCTTTTGTGCCAACATAGTTTTGCATCGGGCTTTTGGAGAAAAACTACGCTTATGTGATAAATTATATAGCAGTCTTGATATTGTTCTATCGTGTCAATCCTTTTTTTCTATCTCTCTGAAAATGATGCGGTGATCGCGTATTCGGTCAAATCACTCGAATGTCGATACAATTTGCTTTTATCTCGTGCAAAAATCCTTTGCGCAGTGAAAAACGATACGTCGACAATATCATCCTGTGAAAGCAACGATTGCATTACACGAACGAATCTTCAAACGTTTCTTTTCTTTTGCGATTCGCGACGTTAGTTCGTAATCTGAAAACTGTGTTTCGATATCCTCATAAGCGTTACAAGTAATTCACATATAAACACGACGTACAAACGTTACACGATTCGTTCACGCAATAGCCTGCGAGATATTTAGTACCTTAACCGCTTAACACATAAGTACATTGTTTGTTAACACCAGAAGCTACACAATATACGAATATATCGGATATAATTTCTGTATTGAATGTGTATCTGTAGTTGTTCTGTTAAACTGTGTATGTGTGAGAGAAAGAGGAAGGGAGGGAGAGAGAGAGAGAGAGAGAGAGAGAGAGAGAGAGAGAGAGAGAGAGAGAGAGAGAGAGAAGAGAGAGAGGAGAGGGGGGGAGAGAGAGAAAAAGAAAGAGAGAGCAATTTCTATGTCAAGCTTACGTATAACAACATTTATAGACGCGTTTATGTTAATTTGCTTTCGCTTTGCCGCCAATTATTTCGCACCGTACTTTAGGCTACGCCTAAATATTATATTGTACCGGAAGACGGTGTTTACCGTAATACATTGCAAAAGTATTAAAATATTTTAACAGGGCGTACATTCCTATATAATTTCGCACACTGTCGAGAACTACACAAAGCTTCACTTACAAATGTTCTGTTTCGTATAATTTCAAGATCCCTGATCAAGAAATGCAAACTTCCGTATAGATCCATTGAGAGTGCGGAATTATTTATAGAAATTCGAGATATTTGCAGACCACATTCATCCATTTCGCAAAACGCAACTTTATTACTTTCATAAATCTGTTGAAAATGGCACTGTGCTTACATATTGTTTTCCCTTCATACATATCGTATGACGTTTCTTTTGTTTATTGTGAAATTTTGTCGCGTGTTAAATAATGCAAAGCCATACACCTGCAACAAAACTAGCCAATCGTATTCATTTTGCAGTTGGAGAGCAAACGTTTGAGAATTTGCGACTCGATTTGTTTCAACGTTACTTTTGCAAAAAATATTTGTAATTAAATATGAGGTGCAAATGACTGCAGCGTGATTTTCTCGTATTACCAAAATGTTACTTCGTACGAGTCATTTCCGAATTGTAGAAAAAATATCGATGTAAAGTCTTACTGTCGAGTTAAAAAATATGAGATTGTATGTATGATGTATGTATATATATATATATATATATATATATATATGTGTGTGTGTGTGTGTGTGTGTGTGTGTGTGTACACTCACATCTTTTGTTTTGTTCATAGTTTATTTTCAGTGTGCGTATTTGACGTGTCGTATAAGCCACCAAAAGATTCCGCATCATTGTTATGTCCGTAGAATTAAGTATTAAATTATTTTAAGCGAGATATACGAAGAGAAACGAGTGAGCGACATATCGATAAGGTATAAGTGTATAATAATCACAGTGTACAGTCATTTGTTACCTCGTATTTTTCATAAAGGTATTCGAATTCGGATCATTAAGATGTACACTCGTATCGATCGATGTCTCTCGTTACAGTCTCTCATACAGTCTCACGAACCAATAGATAGCTGAGAATAACTGTAATATTTCATAATTAACTGAGCGATCGTTTCATTGGAATAATTATGAAATGCGAACTATGATCTAAGTGATTTTGAGATATTTATAGCGGGACAGTAGCGTATATAAATACTTTAAAGATTACAGATACAATAATTATACGATTGATGCGAGTCACAGAGCAAATTCTATTCTTACTAGTGCTCGGAATACTCGAATGGTATTTGCCCGCCCGAACCCATTGTCCGTTGTATACGAGTAAGAACTGGTTTTACGGATATTTTGTCGTATAACACTCTGAGAAGCATATATATAATGGTTGGCTGCTGTAAATTTTACATTGGCCGATATAGATTCAATATTGATCTAATGCGCTGTACTGCTAGGGACGGGTCTGACCGTGTCACCCGCATCTGTCGTTTGCCGCTATTTCCTCTTGAAAAAAAAGAATAGTGATAAAAAATAGTGGCAACATATCGTCGGTCTAATTAGAAAACTTCTTAACTCCATTTTTAAACAAAATCATCTTATCAAGACAAATCGCATAGTATAAGTATCTCAATTTTGTTTCCAAAAATAAAGTTAGAAGATTTTCTAATTAGACGGACGATATGTAAACGTGGCGTACACTCAAAAGTTACAAAAGAACAGTTTTCATATTGTTTTCCAAAGAAATTTCAGCGCTTTAATTTGTCACAATTGCAAGTCACTGCTGACGAATTTGCACAGTAATTATCTAGTAACAGAAGATAAAGCCAATTATTGCGTAAATTGGTCAATAGTAGCCCGCAATTATGATAATCTTGAGCGCTACAACTTTGTTAGAAAAAGAAGTATGAAAACTGTTTTTTTTTTTGCACATACATGTAATCGGATTTTTTACAGTATTAAATCTACCATCGTTTTATACATATAAAAGATTATGCTTAGCACAAAGAATCGGGCTTGGAAACATTGTAGAAAATCGGACGACGAAAAGTCTTCCCCTCGCAACATTTGTGACGCAAAGTTCCAAGTTGTTTACTCGTGTGATGCGAATACCCGTGCGACGATAATACGTGTGACATGAGTATCTGTATGATGCGGATATCAGTTTTCTACGAGTAGCCGTGCCACACAGTTCTCACCCGTGTACAAACGGATCATAGGCGGACGATTTTCTCTATATTAGCCAGTCCCACTTCCGAGCTTTAATTCTTACCGATGAAAGGTTGTCGTAGAATAGAATTATACGAAAGAAAAAGAGAAAAAAAGAATGTCCGAAATTTCTGCGAACATTGAGCAAGTGTCTTTGCAAACAAAAACACACATATCTTGCTACCAATGAATAATGAAGTTTTTTCGCAATACTTAAGTTACAACAGGAGTTCTCTCAGCCATGCCACTATCAAAATAACAAATGCAGCAATCGTTATATATAAAAAATTACGAATGATTAAAGACGACACAAGTTTATAGCAAGTATCTTTAGTTATAAATCGTGATATAAATGTTCAGCAAATTTCGTTTAAATGTTACATATTACAATTTTACGCAATTCATTATCGTACAATATTCTAGTGATTATGTGTATGTTTTTCTTATGCCTGGACTGTGCTGATAATTCTTCCTCGATATTACGAAATGTCCATAATGTACGTGTCAGTGCTCTTCCTCTCGCGCGAATCACGAAAATGAAAAGTAACAGGCAATTTTATGATTTCCCTTCAACTAGTGCGCAAATAAACACGATCGAGACGCGATGCAGCTCTCGGATCCTAATAAATTGCAACGCAGAAGAAGAATCATTCGCACAAGACAGAACATGTAACGTTTATATTCGTATTATATTAATGTAATTTGTAAAAAATATAGTGTTTAATTTAATTTGCCCCCTATTGTTGGTTTTCTTTGTGCAATGAAAATAAGAAAGTCGAACGCGCCGAACCCGAAATTACGCTGGCGAGCGTACGTATTACTAATGAGACTTTACAATTATACAATCAATTGGAAAGCATTTCCTTGCGGTAATGCTCGAAATATTAGTGATAGCGTAGAATCCGAATAACGTCGTTCTAGCTATACATTCATATCGACATAATACATTTATTTAGTTTCCATGTAATAAAAACTAATACGTTATACGTTTACAAAGAAATCGATTCGGTACTCGACTTTTACATACAATAGGCAATAATTAATCGTATATTAACGTCCATATATTTTTTAACGTTCTCGAAAATACAGCAGACAATCGATGAAACCAACAACCGGGTATTAGTATATAAATATTCAACTGTATGTTTTTTCTTTGTTACACGATAATATTAGCTAATCATTCACTTTGTTACTCTCCTATTAACCTATTTTGTAGCTAAATTTGTTGCTTTCACAATAATTTATATTCTTAATATATATATATTTTTTTTTAATTGTGTGTGTTATTGTTAGAAGTAAAATAGTACAATATTATAATTGTAATATTCGTAATCCTATTATTCAGGAATATCATTTCTAAACTTCCACTTTCTAAATATATCGCGCGATCGTAACTTCCTTCCGATCATTTAAAAACGTAGATGACGTCTCTCGTAGCTTTCCATAATAGTGATACAAAGAACTAAGCGTTTGTTTACGTCTCGGATATGATCCCATTGTTTGTAACATTATGTTTTCTTAAATACAAATGCGAGGAAGAAATTTCGATCGCGAAATATCATCAAAATATGCATTCTTTATAAGTACTCTTTTTAAAGATTTTCTTTTACTTCGTCATTTACTGTAGATTTATCAAAAATTTGTTACATCACGTGTCATGTTAGCTCGACAAGTCGAGAAGTATATAAACCAGGATACCGATTGGCATTCTAGTTTCCTTTTCCTTTTTAATAGAAGGTAAATATAATGCTAATCACACGTAGTAGTGCCAAAATGTGTTGTATTAATGTATGAGAAAATTTATTATTGATTTATATGATTCATAAAGGATATATTGTAGCAAAATAAATATCTTGTGTATACCGATAACATTTTGTTGTACTTATAAAGAATGCTTTGCACAAAAGCAAAAAATGCATCATTATAATGTTTAAATCTCTTAAATTCTAAATAGTAGTTTGAAAATGGTGTTATGGTATATGCGGCCTCTATGAAAATTAAAACATTGATCTATGCGTACAGGATGAGATCTCACATTAACGTTTTATGCTGATCGGAAAAGAAGATAGGTAATGCAAGGAAAAGAAAAGATGAATAAAGAACATTTTTTACATTATTCAGATATTAAAGATGTAAATAATCATCAAAATGACGTTCCTGTCTTTATGTCCGCTTTCTTATACCTCAATCGTAATGAACGATATAAAGCATATTAAAGAAAATCACATTTTAATAATTATTACTCTATTAGCGTTATAGCATCTTAAAAACAGTATCTTTAGACCATATATACCATAATAGAGAAATTGTATTTTACTTTTTGTAATAACATCTATTATATTTTAATATTTTAATAATCTGTAATAAAAAATTGATGTAATAAAACATTTGTTTCTTTTTTGGCCTCACTTTTTGACACTAAACTATGAAGATAATTAAAGAGAAAGAAAAAAAAAGAGAAACGACGAACCAAAAACAACTAAGGCTGTTGTATACGTTAAGGAATTTCGTAGTTAAGTAATGTTCGCTACAATACCCCATCGTATCAGAGAAAATTTATATATTAAAACAGTTTAAAAAAGCCCGACTGATTATCTGAGACTTAATTCTGCAAATTATTAAACGGTTTTACGAGTCGTATAAAAGTGTTGTGGTTTCTTTTTTGTGCGGGGTATTATACTTTAATTTAAACGTTGTAATCGCACGTATTAAATAAAAGTAGTCATTAAAATTGATTATTGAAAATTTCTTTTATAAAGAAAAAATTTGATAGCTGTCCTATCTAATCTATAATCGTTTATATATCTTTTAGGCAATATATATATATATAATATATAATTTATTTCACATCATAAGTATATAGTAATTTTTTTATCATAGAGTTTAACAACTACATCTTTAAAATGAATATACGCATAGAGCCGGTATATAGACGTGCCTTAGACGTCCATCGTCGGAGAAGTTCACATGCTACTACTAAGCATGCCGTTGAACTGTAACACGTATGTCACGTTTGACTTGCCTCATATATATGTATATATATACACATATACATGTATATACGCACACATACATACACACACTTGCCTATATATTTGCGCATGTGTGTATATAGATGTTATTTTTTGATTAAATTGAAAAATCCTAAATATTTTTAACATCCCTTACATCTAAGTTGTAAAAGACTAAACACGAAATGAGAATAATTGGTTTAGTAATCTAATTGAATAATTGTTTAAAGATTAATCTTTTTATTACTATCACACGCTATTTTAATTGAATGTCTAATAACTCCATCGCAAGTATTACATACAATTAAACATATTTAAAATGTAAAAGTGAATCGTTTTATAAAAGATATTAGAACAGGATGTGCAAATGCGGCGTATTGATTATGAACAGAATGAGAAAAAGCTCTTATTTATATAAAATCATTAAAAACATCTATTATTGTTATAAACTTGAGTGTATCTGGATGATAAACGTATTCTGGTATATCGTAATGTTATTACACTCAACGAAAATGTAAAAAGTATGAGAACGGAAAGAGAAGACAGAATACGTGATAGTAACGCGGACAGGTAAAAAATAAATAATGTATATGTATTCACATAAGCATAATACTTTTCACGTAATAAAATCATTTAGCATTACTTATTTTGGTTGTTTTACATACTCCCATGGTACATTGTTATTTAAATGTATATACATATACATATATATATTTTTAATATTTATTCATATATTTATATATATGTATATATACATATATAATGAGAAATCTTTATTATTTGATATAAAAACCTAGAAATTGTATGTATTTATATATATATATATATATGCCTCTTATATAATATCTATATCTTCAATATTAGGTTCTCAACGAAAAATATAAAATTTGTTAATACTTATATTATTACATTCAGTACGCGCGCATGCGCGAATCAATTGGAAAATCCTATTAAATATATAAGATTTAAATACAAATAGAAATATCATCTTGTGTGACATACGTCTCACAGCTCACCATCGAGAAATGATCCTCCCACTATTAATGCAAATTGGGAGACTTCTGTTGCATTTATTAATATTATTAGTATATAATTTCTTTAAACAATTATATAATTCTCGAGGTCCCAAAACTTTGTCCATAACTGCGATTATATTGTTTTCGCGCTAAATGTTCTGTAACACGCGTATGCGTGAACATTGCAAATGCTAACTGTATTACAGTTAACACCCTGCTAAATATGTGTCTCTTGAATTATGTATAAAATAAAATTTTTTTTATTTTTTAGAATCAATAACTCGCTGCTCTTTTAGTTAAAAAGTGTGACATCACTCACACAACGGTAATATATCAGAAGGAAAATGTCAACATAATATACGACGCGTAATAAGATTACGCTTCCTGAATTCCTATTCTTCATACTTTGGCGACATAATTCAATCATATCCTTAAGATTTATTACTGCAATTCTTGCAATGGCAATGGCAATGGCAGTTGCAATAGCAATTGCAACGGCAATTGCAGTAATAAAAAGTATTCGGTTCAGAGTATACTAAAAATATAAGTCTTTGCGAAATTGTGATACTACTCACATGATATTCTCAGAGACAGTGATTGCCCTTTTAAAATGACGAAAGAAGCGGAAATATAACAACGGGATTCTAAGAGAAAAATTTTGCGCCTAACTTGTCGAAACGACTGGTGTCTGGCAATACGGGCACTCGCGTTGATTTGGAGCACACGTCGAGCAGACTACGTAATGATTACACGGTGATAGGGTAACTGTACGATTCTGTTCTTCGCAAACCATACATTTTGTGGCTGTTTCTCTATATAGCACCTAAAAATAGAAATATAAAATAATACGTACAGAAAGATATATAAGATTATATATTTTTGAAGTTATACCAGGGAGTTTTTTCCTCTCTATAATTTCAAAATCAGGCCACGTGTGACTATGATTTTACCTTTTCTACTTCCTCGAGATCTGAGCGTAATTGCGATTGAATTGATTTCAAGGTAGCTATTGATAATGATCTGAGCTCGCTTATACGTCTCACCGTGTGAAGATACGGACCACCGCTGGACGCCTCGTTTTCTACCCTAAGTGCTTTTACTTGCATCAGAGCCTGCAAAGAATCCATATTCTGGAATAAATCGCTAATTGGATTTCAATATCACGAAAAAAGCTGACCGGCCCTATTAAGGCGGGATATTTACCTCGTCTCTTTGCTGTTCGGCGATAGTGGCTTTCCTTTTCGCCTCTTCACTCTCCAATTGCCATGCCGCGCAAGCCGCGCGCGCCTGATTAATGCGTTCGTCCCATGTCGCCAACTGAGCACGGCTCGACGTCAATTCCTCTCTGAGCCTTTGTACCTGTATAATACATATATGCTTTATACTACTGACTTCGCGGAAATGCATCTTGCGGTATGAGAAACATCTTTTTAACATCGTGCAAATTCTAACCTCGGATAACGATCCTGTGTTACTCGGACTAATGGAAAATGCATTGACCAATGGAGATGCTGGTAGTGGTTGCGTACGAGACGGGGACATTCCTTGGCTCGCAAAATCAAATAAACTACTATTGAATCCACTAAGCTTAGAAGCCGAGCTGCTAAGTTGCGAAATGTGATTGCTAAATGGATCTGATATCTGATTCATAAATGGCATTGTCTGAAAATATAAACCCCGAAAAAACCGGTCAGTAAAACAATTCGATTGTCTCTCACAGATATTTATTCAATTAGGAATAAAAACTGTACGACTTACGGATTCTATGGAATCTTGATGAGAAAATCTGGATCCGGTGAGAAAGCTAGCTGTTTGTAATTGCTGTAATGGACTGGATGTTGATGGCGAAAAGTTTGTAAGAACGGAACGTTCAGCCATTCCCGGTATATTGACCGGGGCTGAGCTACCTAGTAGACCGGAGCTAGCTAGGCCCGCCGATATTGAATTGCCGATCGGTGAATTTGTATCCCTATGAATTGATTCGACTAAATTTAATGGATCGTCTAGATGCAATTCATCTAATGCGTTTCCTGAAACATAAACAAATTTTGATTCCCTACGTTGGGCGCTTCGCGCGTGTAAAACATTCATGTAATGAACAACGCGCTGTATAAACTACATACAGCAACATAACTTATTTAAATAAAAAAACAGTAAATGAAGAGTCTATAAGAACTTTGCATTAGATAATATTAAATTAATGATATCATGATATTTAAGGCATTAAAGTCTGCAACAAACGTTTCGGTTCACCTTCTTTAGTATAAAAAAAAAAAAAAACCAATTAGCTTTTTATCGCACACGAATAACATACATATAAATTGTAATGAGAACTCGATCAGACCAGACATCGTTACTATGGAGATCTTTCTAGCTGCTTATCTATGTACACTGTCCAATACAGGATGTTCAAACTTAAAGAGCAGACATCAGAGTTAGCAGTCACAACTGGTCATGTGAAGTCCGTCATCAAAACAATGTGAGACATTATGTTCAGCAGAAAAAGCACTTTGTGTGCTGTCCTGCCAAGCAGCTTTGTAACTGTTCGTTAGATTTTCTGTTGAATGATATTTAGCGGTTTACGCTTTTCATGTTTACTAAGCGGTCTAGCGGATTGAAAGTATGATAAAAAAAATGGCGACTGCTTAGTAAACATGTTGCAAAAACATAAATCGTTATCGTTCAGAAGAAAATTTCGTAATAGTTGCAAAGCTGCTGCCAGCGCAACGAAAAATGCTTAATAAAGCTGTTTTCTCTGTTGAACGTAATCACAAGTTCATAGTGTACAAATTCATATAAATTCGTTGTCAAGAACCGTTCACTTCGGAAAAGCCTTTGTAAGTTTCGATGTCTCAGGTATAGGTTTGATACAATTTGAGCATAATTGGATCTACTTAATAGAACCTTCATTTACTATTTTTGTTTATCATAGAGTTTTTATTGAAAGTTTGTATAACTTACCTACTACAGATTCAACAGTGTCGTTTGAATAGAACGAATTTGAAAGCGGCGAAACTGTGGTCGCTAACGAATGACTACCTAATGTTCCGTTCAAATTGTACGCGATGTAGAGACTCTGTTTCTGTTGAGCCTTTTCAGATTTCGTCAATAGTGGATCGCTATCAATGGCAACCATTTGCTTTCGAATTTCATTCTGTTAAAATAAATGCATCGACCGAGATTATTGTAGCCGTCATAGTAATGTAAGTTTATCAGTATCATAGAGAGGCACGAAACTTACAACTTGCATAAGAGAATTGGGGTTATAGAGTATACTAGTAAGTTTTTGCTGAGCGGCCGTACTTATACCGGAATTGGTATTGGAATTGTGCAGTTGAGCACCTGGAGCCTTGCTGTGCGAACTGTTACTACCCAAACTACTAGTGCTGGCAGATTCCGAAACCTCACCGCTTCCATTCTGCAACATAATGTAGCTGATAACACTAAGTCAATGTCGAAAGATAACTTTAGGCATCAAGTCGTGCACGAGTCGCTCTCGAGTTCATCAAGAAGAACTCACGAAAGAACTTCACCCATTTTGGGCCATCCGCGTCCAGTCATCAATTATATTTTTGTAGATAATAATGGTAATATTTAAGAAAAACTAGTTTTAAATCTTCAAACCTGCCGAAAGTAGTTCTCACCTCCTAATGATGTTATTTATTCGATAGCTCATCATCAGAGCTATCTAACATAACAAATATATCATAGCTATGCTCAGAAGGTATCCGTAAATCATTAGAAAGGTATTTAGCATATCCTAAATATCAAATTATTGAGGCACAGCAGCCATTAATATGGGCACAGCAGCTTATAGTACGAGCACCATTCTTACATGTACAATAATATTTTTTAATGGAATCTTTATCTTCAACATTTGTTTGTTACCGCCGTTATCATGAGAAGGTTCCTTGGATGCAAAAGAAATCTTTAGGAAAAATTACTAATTAATTGAAAGTACGAAAACATCGTGTAAAGATAAACGTAAATAATAAACGTGTTGGGCAACTCTGATGACGAACTATCGAACGAATAAAATGATATCATTAAGAGATCAGAACTATTTTCACTGGGATTTTGAGGATCTAAAACTATTTTTCTCAAATACCATTATTATCTACAATATTATATATGATTGATGACTGGACGCGGATGGCCCAGAAACCCCTATGAAAATATGTGGGTGAAGTTCTTTTAAAAAACTAAATTTCATACTTAGCGATTGAGTTTCTTTGCGATGTTTAAGAAGCATGCCCCGTATAGAGATGTTGTGATATTATTGATATAATATTAGCATCGATATTTTCTTTCAATATCGGGTATTTTTCTATTAATATTTTCTTTGGATATTTGTATCTATATCAGTACTACTTCATTTCATGTTTTTTTTATTTTTTCTTTCTCTTTTCGAAAAATCGCACGTAAAAAATGATTGCATTATACGTGAATAGAAACAATATATACACAAAATGACATCTGTGATCGATTCAATATAGTTATAAAAATATCAAGACGCTTCCCTTTTTTTAACACTCAATAAATGGTTGAAAATTAATGTAACATGAAACTTACATTTTAAACCTATCTGTTACGTTAATTTTTTCTATTTATTGGTCGCTGAAATAAAAGGAAAGTCCGGACATCTTTACAAGTATGCGAAGTCAATCAAGAATATTATTTTGTATGTATATTGTTTTATTTACACATGTATACCACAATAATTTTTAGAATTACTCATTTCTAACGTCATCAAACAAGAGCAGATAGCACAGAGAATTAAAAAAGAATTCAGTCGTGTGCCACCAATTCTGAATTCATTTTTAGATGCAAAAAGAATTCTTTTTATTGAACTAAATTTTGAAGAATTTTTTTTGCATTTTAAAAGGAACTCAGAATTGGTGACATACGACTGAATTCTTTTTGAATTCTCTGTGCTATTTGGATAGTCATAGCGAAGACATAGGAAGATTTAACACATCCTTTTTAAGGTTTTTAGATCATAAACCGTAAGTTTAGTGCAAAAGATACAAATATTTTTGTACCATAGTAATATTATTATTCGTACAAAATCTTTGAAATTTGCGACACGCGTGATACTTATATTTCCTGTAATCTTAAGTTTTCCTAAGTTTTGATATCAGTATCGGTATTTTTGTTCTGATATAAATTACTTTTGTTGAGCTCGGCTAAAAGTGAAACGATCCTGTCAACGATAACATCGCCACGTCTAAGTAATAGAGATAATAACAGATTTATATACACGAGCATTAACATTGCGGCGACGACTCGTGGGAGAAAAGGAAACAGAGTTTTATTTTTATAATAAGCCGCAGTAGCCGTTGCCCAAATATTCTGTGTCCTTTTGAGAGTTAAGTCCATGCTTTTGAAATTTAATGTAAATCATTTCTGATATCAGGCGTTTCAAGTAATAACGTTCCTCATGCAAAATTTTGGTTTGATCCCAATTGAAATCATGGTTTTTTCTCAAACGGTGTTCTTGTATGGCCGTTAACTCAACTGTAGAACTTCTTGGTATTCTCTTATGCTCAGCAATGCGCGTAGAGAGTCTTCTATTAGTTTGACCAACATACGATGCCTCACAACAACTACTGCATTGCAATTTATAGACAACGTTATTATGGAAACCAGGAGGCAACCTTTATGCACACAAGTCATTCCTGATAATTTATTATTGCAAGAATAAGCAATATTTGTCAAATTATTTTTAAAAAGCTTTGTCAGTCTGTTCGAAACCACACCAAAAAACGGTATGGTAAAATATTTTTTATCATAACCAGAAGCTATCAAATTTGTTTTAACTGTTATAGTTGACAGGATCGTTTCACTTTTAGCCGAGCTCAACAAAGGTAATTTATATTGACCGTTTTAATTATTTATTATATTTTAATCTTATTTTTATTTTATTTTATGGTTTTTTTATAGTTATGACGGCTACTTCCTAGTATTAATTTGAACTTCTTAATATTAGTCGGGTAACGGTCTTGTCAGCTATAATACTGCGAATAACATTCATGTCATTTTATTAAGGTCTTTAATTAATTCTTTTACTTGTAATGCGTTTGTTTTGTAAACCTTGAGTTTTTATATCACTGAAGAGGGTTCATGATTGAGCCGAAACGTTTGATTATTTATATTAAGTATTCATGTTCAATAAATATTGCTCTATTTCCTAACACAAGGAAGGTTTTACCCATATGGTACATAGCACTATTAATCCTGTGCTTGAACTCGAATTAGCCCTTTTTCCTATTATTTGAGCTTTTAACTAGAAAAAATAAAGAATAAGGAACAGGAAGCGAAGAGCACACACAGATCAGGTTTTATTTTTCCAACCCATCTCAGAAACAGAATTTGTAGAGTTAATTACGAGTACACCTACTCCAATTTTCCAAATAATTAGGCTTCTTCTATGGGTATGTTACATCATATTTCGGAACGACATTGAGTTAACTCCGCTACACGGAGTATAGTTTTAAAACGCAGCCATGATATCGCATCCCTAAGCCCTGTATTTATTTAGCTACCATACACTTATTTACCTAATCGCATAGTTCGACTACTTCACGTTTGCAAAAAGACTGAAAAAAGTACGACGAGCTCTCGTTATGAGCGCAGCGGAGTTTACATTCGAGATTGACACTTACACTGCTATCACTGAGTGGCTTGTCCTTATCATGACCGCGCTTGTCGGGTGGAAGAGCGTTGCTGAGTATCTCGGCCAGATTTGCACCGCAATCTATAGGTACCGCCATATCCCTCGCCAGGCTCATTTCTTCTGTTGGCAACACTGCTCCGTCAACACACCATAACCAACGTCCCAATATATATCAATTTTGAGAGAACAATTTTGACGAGCTAGATTTATTATCATTCATCAAACCGGCTACGTGTTGTGTATCTCGTACGTGTACGTCGCGTTCCAAATAATTGTGTTCGCGAGAACCGAGGAGAGGCCCCGTACAGAGATCGCGAGCGCGGCCCGATCGTCAAGAGCGTGCAATTAGCGTTGCGAACTTACGCCGCTGAGAAGGAAGACAGATTAACTTCGCTCTGATACCGAGCAGTTTAGGTCAGAGACAGCCAGATAGAGAGACGTATACGTGTATATATCATCGCTATATCGCTAAACTCACAAAGAGACACGTGTATAAATAATAGGCTGTTTTACGTACGATTGATGAGTGTACACTCACGGTCAACGTGTGCGAAGGCACAGAAGACTCCGCGCGGGCAATAACCGGCCTGCTGCACATCATTGCATTTCGTGGATTTGTAGATCTCTGGATGAAACTGCTGTTCGGTACGTGTATGACAATACGTACATCCGTCTCCTTGTTCGCAGTTACCTGGTTCACCCCATTCCTCACCATGTTTTACGTTCGGACATGGTGTCGAACTGTAATCCCAATAAGAGATAAGAATAAATGCACATATATTTGGATGAGGAAATTAATTCAGATTTTAAGATGGGTGTATATGTGTGGTACACCACATTCAATGTACATCAAGCTTCAATACTTTAACATTTACTATTTCAACGGTTACTAGACTTTCTAATAGTTTGCAGTATGTCTGGATGTACGTACACATTACAACTGCCGATTAGAATGTCCGACAAATCTTGGGATCTGTTTTCTATTGCCGAACTGGTTGCACTAGTTCTCTCTTATCTTTCTTCCACTAAATTTTATCTGTATATCTGTCTCTTTTAAGTTCCGAAAGTGAACACTAGTTCAGCAATAGAAAACAAACTCTTTATCGCTCGTCCAAAAGTGCAAACATTGTGGAAAGCATTTCCTGTACTTACATAATGAAAAATATATAAAAGAGCAACAATTTCAGCAATTTTGCACACGTGTTTATTTATAATACAAATTATGTTATCTGTAATATAGACAAATGCATATGTGAAATTACTGAAGTTATTGCTCTTTTATTTAATGTTTTTCGATAATATTATGTGAGTACAAAAAGTACTTACTTTGCACACAATATAGTATCAAGATAAAATTAAATGTTTTTTTTATTTATTATATGGGAAAATTAGTTTTTATATATCTATATCTCCAAGACGGAAAATTATGCTGAAACAAAAGGAAAAACGTATTTTAAGGTGAAAGTTTATATTAAGACTACTACTACCGAATTCTAGATTGATAACGTCACAAGTGAGGAAACGCATGTCAAAAATTTTTGCGTTCTCCATTTTGAAATAAAAATATATTTATATAAAAGAACTTCAGATCGTTTGAGTATACTTGTAAAATGCTCTTTTTCTTTTGACAATCAATGAATAACATTTTTTTAATGTGGCAAAATTATGAGCAAAGATAGGTTAAAGAGGAAAAGATTGCATGTCACGTTAAGACTATTTATTTATATAGCTTTATACAGGATATGCCAAAACAATCTTTGAAGCTTTCGTGGAGGCATAATACAGAAGTGAACATGAAAGTGCTACACCGTTTTATGCTCTTCGCAGTAATTATCGAAATATTAATTAAAGATTATTTGTGAATAATCACGCGAGATATGGTAGATAAGCTGTAGTGGTGATGTCTATCATCATGTACATTTTACACATGATGCTTGTACATTAGTCAAACCGAACAAAAAAGTTCTCATTATTTTCCTAACAACTTTGTAGATTTTTAATTATTAATTAAATTAAAGAACATTGGCGGCTAGTTGGTCGCGATAATATATTAATGTTATTTAATTAATATAACTAAAATTTTACAAAGTTATTAGGAAAAAGATAGAAAACTTTTTATTCAGTTGATCTAATATACAAATATATACAACGGCAGATGTCGCCACTATAGCTCATCTATTATATCTCGCGTAATCGTTTACAAATTTTTTTAAATTAATATTTCGATAATTATTGCGAATATCACAAAACAGTATAAAACTTTTATATTCACTTTAATCCATACTATGCCTCCATAGAGAGCTTCGAAGTTTATTCTGGGATCCCCTGTATACAAGATGTCTGACTCGTACCATACTAGAGCTAGCATATAACTAGAATAGGTCGGGGTGAGTAATAGAATCGGTGTCTTTTTTAAGCAATCACGTAAAATTTTGAGATATTAACGATAAAAGATTTCTATCGAGCGGCAGCCCACTGGCCAATCAGCACATGTGCTGCGATGAGGCGAACGCTGTACGCGCTGTAGCATCGGTATGATAGGCTAGCCGGGCCAGCCTTCTAACGAGGAAAACGCCCAGGAGGCGGGCCCGGCTAGCTTATCATGCCGATGCTACAGCGCGTACAGCATTCGTCTCATCGCAGCATACGTGCTGATTGGCCAATGGGCTGTCGCTCGATAGAAATCTTTTATCGTTAATATCTCAAAATTTTACGTGGTTGTTTAAAAAAAGACACCGATTCTATTACTCACTCCGACCTATTCTAGCTTTATGTTAGCTCTGGTACGGTACGAGTCAGACATGAAGGATCTCTATATATGTATAAAGCTATATATTTATTGACTGTCGAGAGAATAGTTTTCGAAGCATTTTACAAGTATGCTAAAGCTATTTAAAGTGTTCTTTTATAAAAATATCTTTTTATTTGAAGGTGGCACGCAAAAATTTTTAACATACATTTTTTCGCTTCAATGTCTACAATCTGTAGTTACGCAGTAGTATGTGTGTGTGTGTGTGTGTGTTTGTGTGTGTGTGTGTGTGTGTGTGACTAGGAGCTTTAATAAAATTTGAAAAAAGAATATTTTGCCACTACTACATAAATTTTTTTAAATTCTGGTCCATTTGATTTCATTTTTCTTAGAATTGACGTAACTTTAATTGTGGCATGATAGACAAATTTGATTCAGATTATTCGGCTAATTTATCACTTTTATAGCTTTAAATATTATATCGTATCATACTTTATTCAGACACAGTAGTTGTAAGTGGAAAGACTAATAAAGTAAGTTTTGGCATAGTAAATGTTAAAATTTTATTGCAGTTTAATGTACGACGATTTTATTCAACACATTACCTGTAATATTTTTTTCCTCTTTGTCAGAGTAAAGAGCTTGCAGCTGTAATGATTAGTATATCGTCCGATACTTTTATCGTCCGCCGCCATACGGTGAATACAAAAGAATCTAAGCAAAATTTTTCGGGAATCGTAATAGTCATCAAGTTTTCAATTAACATGTCTGAGTCAATAAGCGCACCGGAGCGTGCAATAGCAGTTGAACGCAAAAGAAAAGTATAATGGCTTACACCTCATTAGCTCAAACGCTTTAATTAATAACTCAACGACCATTGCGATTTCTGCAAAATTGTACATGATTTTTTTCTTTATTTTGACCTTGTTATCCGTTTTTTATCACGTTCCGTTACTTCTAAGACACCCGCTGACATCGCATACCGGTTTTAGTCTTTTTGTTGCACGCGTTTTAGTTAATGTGTCGTATAGTAAGTATAGAAGGCTTGCTAACAGACAATCCTAAATACATCGTCTAAGAATGCAGAACTAGAATTTTCTAACAATAAGCTCAGCAATTAACCCTTTAAGTCACGAATTTTTCTGCACAACCTTTCTCTTTGTTCAATCAATATCTAGGAGGTTTTGGGATCGCTAATCACGAATTTAAAGCCAGTTTTAGAAAATCCAAGATGGTGGATCCAATATGGCGGACGACAGTTTTAAAACTCCCTCGATTTCCGTGAAAATTGGTATCCGAGGGTTTTTGGCGTTGTTGATCACGAATTCCAAATCATTTTTTTGAAATTCAAGTTATTTACAGACTCAACTTCACTTATTTACGGAAAAAATATAACTTATACCAATTGTTGGTATTTTAGTTCGCCATCTTGAATTTTGAAATTTTGGAGGTGACATCATCATTTACAGTTCAAAAAGTATCAACCAAGTTATTTTTTCTATAGGTTTACTTTACAATATTGTTGGCAAATGAATCTTAAAAAAAAAAATACAATTTTTTTACATTAATTTGTTTATGAATAATTTAATTTGCAAAATTTTTCTATACAAATGATTCTGTTAGAGGAACATCTAAGCTTCACAATGAATCCACATTTATTGCTTCGAAGTTTCTACAAATTAGTTTAAATTCGTAAAAACTGCTCTAAAAAATGTATATCGTATATGATACACTATGTCTTAAAGGGTTAATCTTGGTATTGTTCGATCGCGATTTTACCGGTATTTGTATTTCCGCGGACTGCGCCTCTTGTCCTTGCTGTTGTGATACTGCGGACAAGCATATCCTTGCCGGCACAGTCTGGGCGGTCTCTTGCACGGTTCGGTTTTGTAATTGCTCAGCACGTAATTCGTGTCTTGCCATTTCGGGTCCTCGTTCATCAGGTTGCGCTCCTTGTCAAGTATGTTAGGCCCGTTGGACGAGGAGTTCGGGTCCGAGTCAGGGTTTTCCAGCGCCTGAATCTCTTTGATGTCGTACACGGGTGGACGCAGGTCATGATTGCCGTGCGCAAAAGCGCAATGCGGTCCATTTTTCACGCAGAACCCGCGCGTGTCGGTGTCGTGCACGCACATGCACGTCTTGTAGTAACGCAGGTGGTAACGCCTCTCCGTATCCCCCGCAGTACGATGTAGATACGGGCAGCTGTTTACAAAAAGACATCTCGTGATTGATCGGGTTTACGCAAAGTATCACAAAACTTTGAAGCTCTTAGAGAAATTGAGTCGGTGAGGGCCAACAAGAGCCATAAAACCGCAGATGTAACTGTGTCAATAAAAATCGAACGGTAGTAACTGGAAACCCAACGGGATGAACAGGCTCTCGAGCCAAGTCGAGTGATTAAATATCAAAGAACTCTAAAGAGAGCGGCCGAACTCTCATAAACAGCTTCTGGTCCGATTTTGTGGCATTTAGAATCTTAAATTATTTTTTTATAAAATTGTAGTTATTGATAGATAGATTATCAGAGTTAAAAATCGATTTTGAAATTTCCTGACTTTTTCATGTTTTCCAGACGACAGTGGAGAATTTACCAATATATAATCTTTAATTTTAATCGTTCAGGAACAGGGATTACAGAAAAAGTAGCTTATATTATTAAAAGCAATACAAATTTAGTTTAGTAACATAATATTTCTAACATATATTCCTAAAAATGCATATTTAGGCTAACAAAAATGATATATTGAAAAAAGAATTTAAAGAACAAGAAGATATGAGACGGAACTCAGGGATTTCAAAGAATTGAATTTCAAAGTAGGAAAAGCTAAAATTCCAGGTTATTTTATATTTTTGATATATCCCGGTTTTCCATGACAAATTTAAATTCCATGACTTTTCCCAGTTTTTCAAGTCTGTAGCAATCCTGATTATATATATACACAAGATGGGTAGATTAAATATAAAATATACAAATATCATACAAAGTAGTGTCACCATTTGAGAGGAAATGGCTAAAAAAGAATTTCAGAACTAACATATGGCGCTTCTGGTGGATCATGTAAGCATTTTATCAGAATAGTGGTAAGCTTCTCTGCAGTTTCCCTTGATCGTGTAATAAATATTGGTATTCCTAATGTCGATAATAAATTGGTTGTAAACGTATTAAGGCTCGGCTACATCAACGACTTTAAGTGTTTAAACTTTAATCTGACCTTAAATCTTTGCCTGAAGACAGTTTAAATTCAGGTCAAGGTCTAACAGACATTGGTGGAACCGAACATGAGGATGATTTTACTAAATTTTGATCAACTTAATCGTCAATTAACTGTGTGACTGGCAAATAGCTATTGGTTAATTCTGTTAGTTACAACCCATACAGCACAAGATCTCCTGGGGACGTCCCAGAGATGTTCTGAGGACATAGAAACGTCCCAGAAAGTTCTCTGGACGTCCCCTGGACATCTGTGCTGCTAGGGAACGGAATTAATCGACGACTAAATTATCGGAACTTGATAAAACTCAGACAGATGTACGTCAATTTGACTCAAAGTTCAAAGTAACTTTATTAGTCGATTTGTAAGGTTGCATCCCTTATGAATGTGACATTCGTATTTATTATTTGAAATAATGAAATAGGGATACGAAAAAAATATGAAAGAAATTATCAAAATTTTCTGTAAATAATGTGTCATGCAAAATGTAGTATAAAAATCTGAAAGTAACTTTTTTTTAAATACATCGATATAACACAACTTGCATTATTGTATCATGAAAATTTAATGATTAATTCAGCATGGTATATTTGTTTCATAAGTGCAGTTAAAATAATTGTAAAAATTGTATCATCGATTGTCTCGCGTCATAATAATTATGAAAGTCTATTTGAGAAATCACCCTAAATTAATAAATATTATTAACACTTATAATTCGTATTATATTTGATTGACAAAGATTTCATCTCATTTCTTGCAACATTTCTTATATATTTCTTGTAAGAGTCCTAACGATATCATTTATTTAAACAGAATATGTATCTCTTTGGGCCATTTTTCCCCAAATGGTGAGATAAATCACTTTGATACTTAATTATCTTTAATCTACTCGTGAATAGCTATAATTTTACCAGAAAATAATTTAAAATTTCGAATGTCGCAAAATGGAGCTATTATTTGGCTAATAAATAAAATAAATTTGTACTAATAAATAAAATAAATAAAAACAAAGGAACAAATAAAATAAGTAAAAAGGAACAATCTCTTAAATAAAAATTATTTACTGGGTGACCAATAAAACAATGACTGCATTAGTGCTTGGCGCAACTTTCGAACAGGTTTGGATACATTATGATTCTTTGTTGCCATCGTGCCAAGCACGTAAGAGAAAATCGATAAGAGTAGGCTCCTTTGTTCGAGAAGCCGGTAATGTCGGAATTTTGGAGAAATTCGTTGCTCGACTCGTTGATCGTTCGACAAGAATCGTTTTACGTTTAATATTTAGCTTAATAAAAAAATGTTGCAACTGTAAAAACAATTTATAGGCAATTTACTTTATGTATCATCGCACGAGATTACATTTTTTGCGAAAGAAATCGACATCTTTCATCACCGAGGAGAACTGCGATCTTTTGTAACTTTTTGATGGGCAGAGTTGTGTTGTAATGTTCGTGTGTGATGAAATATGTACATATATATGCGAGTATAAACGTCAAAATAGCCGTTCGAACATACGCTGTGCAATATAACGTACAAATATACGTATCGCTGTTGTTGAAATGAAATTATAAAATGCCCGAGTACAGTGCCATTAATTGCGCGATGTTAATTTATGCATAAAGTGCGATGTGCATAATGTAACGCCGTTGTTTCCCGCAGGACACATGCTTGCATGCATAATCGATGTCACATTTGGACGGCTCTTTACACGAAAAGAATGAGAGGCATCGCTTGTATCGGGTCGTAAAAAATGTACATCTTCTGAAAATAAATTGAACGGAGGAAAATATGACGTGACGTCTCGTAGTGACAAATGAATAGTTTTAAATTAAGCATATTTTTTGCCGACAGTTCTAATGTCAGCGAATATTTGTTTGAAAGAATGTTTGACAGTGTTAACGCACGTGACGTATAGATTCTTTATAACGTACGCGATGAATAAAATCTTCCACGTTGAACCGACGCTAAATCATAATTTTTAATATTAATTTTAGTAATTAATATTACATAAATTTCTCTCCTTGTTACCCTATGATTACGCATTTTTTATTATAATTGCGAAAAATATTGTCTCAGTCAAAAATCGTAAATTACATAAAGATTGAAAAATCTACACTGAAAAAAAAGATTTGGTAATATCCATCCATGAATAATAATTACTAAATGTTTTGGTAAAATAGTTTCAATTTAATATATAAGTGAATATAATCAAATCAATTGAATATAATCAAGTGAATATAATCGGTAAGTATTAGCAAATGGCTTTAGTGAGATCTGCTATTTGTTACTAAGGCTTTATATTTGTTGCCAAAGCTTGGTAACTATTACTATTTTATGTAGTAAGAATCACCAAACAATTTATTAAATAAAATCATATCGTTTAGTAGTACTTTTTCTACTAAGATAGATTGTGGCAATACCTTAGAACAGATCTTTTACCAAATAGTTTGATAATCATCAAACTATTTGGCAATTATTTTGCATTATTATTATTATTATTATTTGGTATTATTAAATTATTTGATATTAATTACCAAATTTTTTGATCAGATCAACTAATTAAAGATTTTACTATTTATTTTGTAATTATTATCAAACAGTTGATAATTACAATATTTAGAGGTATCACTTGACACTATCGGGTCACAAAAAATATGTACCTTTCGAAAATAAATTGAACGAAGAAAAGTGTGACGCGACGCGACGTAATAACAAATAACAAATTAATAGTTTTAAACGAAAAATATTTTTTGCCAATAAGAGCTAAGTTGGGATGTTAAAACGACATTATTACTCATTATCAAATATCGCGCTGAAATGTTTAACCAGATGCATTTGTCAACTATTACCAGACTTTTCTTTCAGTGTATCTGTCACGTGTGTTAACACTGTTAAATATTATTATTCTTTCAAGCAAATATTTGCTCTGATGACAGAACTCGACTCTTACCAAAAATATGTTTAACTAAGTTTATGTTTTGAGAAAGATTAGTATATAGAATTGTAAATTAATACTTGTTCACATACATCGAAAAAAAGACTTGGTAATATCCATCAAACCTGAGTAATAGTTATCAGATGCTTTAGTGAAGTACTTTCAACTAAATATATAGGTAAGTATAATCAAATAATTTTGTAAATATTAAGAAATAATAACAAATAACCTTAACAAGGCTATCTATTGCTATAGTTTGGTATCTATTGTTAAGATTTGGTGACTATCACTAATTTATATAGTATGTATTAGTAAATAATTTATTAAATAAAATCACATTATTTAGTAATACTTACCACATTAAGTGATGAATATACAAAATGTAACCAAATATAATAGTTGCACTATTTAGTAATTATTATCAAAGTATTTATTATTATTAACCAAACTATTTAATTGGTTCAACTAAATGAAGAATGTTTTAATGATAATTTTGTAATTGCTACTAGAATTATTACTGTATTTGATACTAATTATATACCAAAAATAAAATGCTCAACTAAACGCATTTGTTAACTATTACAAGATTTTTTCTCTGTGTAGCGTAAATCGAGTGCAGAAAGAATTCTGCAGCGTGGATCACAGTGTCACCAAAAAGAAGAGTTGCATTTCCATGTCCGAAAGAACTGCATCAGCTAAAACATCGCGACAAGTCATGCTGCATCGCTGGACTTGAGCCGCGTATTATGTACGTGTTACGGCATGTACGTGTCAATGACACGAAGTGACGCCGCGCGTCGCAAGATGCGGCGCGTTTTCTCTCTTGTTTTTTCCCTTCGTCTTTTCTCCCCGCCCGGTCAAGCTCCGATTTCCGATCTTTCGTAATGCGCGCAAGTCATCATCGGTGTCTCGGGAATGAGGTGCTAGAGGAGAAGTAAAAAGCGGTGCAGAAGGAACGTCCTTCCATCGTGCACAAGACACACCGACCGAGGGAGGTAGAATCTATTAGTAGCCGTCTACAATATGCGAAGTGAGCTTTGCGTAAGTTGGAGTAAGTGGCCGTCTACAATATGTGAACTAAATTTGACACAAGAAGAGTATAAAACTTATGGTTTAAAACTTATTGATTTATAATATACAGACTATCATTTAATAATCGACTATAATTGGCCGATTCTTACATTTTAGATCTTACTCCAAGCTTAATCCACATATTGTGGACAAAATTTAAGAGTAAAAAATAAAAATAATTTATTTCGCTTACGTATTCCAGCTCCCTTAGGCTTAGTCTACAATATGCGGAGTAAGCTTGGAGCAAGAAATGAACTGTAAGAATTCTTATAATAATCGACTATAATTGGCCAATTCTTACAGCTTACTTTTTACTTCGAGTTTACTCTACATATTGTAGACTAAGCCTTAGCCTTTCCGCCAAATAAATATTACCGGTGTAAAGGAGTATGGACATATATGTAAGTAAAATAGTTTCATTTCTTACTCTTACTATTTATTTCTTATTTCTTACTGCATATACTAAGTTTATTCAACGTAGACGTGGAGTAGATGAACCTTGAGAAATAAAAATAATCTATTTCGCTTACACCTATGCTCTTATACACCAAAAGTATTTCTCTTAGGTTAAGTATCTATTTACTGTTCTAACCTACTGGTAAGCTAATAGTTAAATCATATGTCTATCTTTTTCTAATTTGAAAGAAAAAGAAAAAAAGAAAAAAATATTTTCAGTGTAAGACAATTGGAGTATAGGCGTAAGCGAAACAAATTATTTTTACTTCTCAGTCCAACTTCTTACGCCAAGCTCACTCCGTATATTGTGGACGGCCACTTAGATTACGAGGAGAAGCGTTTCGCATAATTTCGCACGGCAAGGATCTCCCCGCGAGCTCCTCCTCCGGCACCGGAGAGAAAGGTGTAACCCGCCAGGCAAGCTCTCGCGCTAAAGGCCGTGCCGAAGAACGCGCGATACAACGACGAAACATTGCTAATCAATGCGTGCTCGCGGTGTCTCGCGTGAGCGCGTGTGAGCGTACTCAGCCTCCGTCGACGAAGGTGGGCGCCGCAAGTGCGTATCTGGAAGACATGACGCGGCGCGTCGCATCACGTTAATACGCAGTTCCGTCCCGTAAGCGAGCGGGTACGCGTTCTCCTCGGCATCAGCGGGGAAATTGTATCGACCGACATGCGGAGGCCGATACACACGAGTAAAATCTCCGAGCTTCTCTTTCGCTCACTCGTACCCGCTGCACAGCCGTGCGCGGCAGCAATTATTTGTCCGCGAGGGGAAAGAAGCGCCGAGCGATTTTTCGAGAGCGCGGCGACGTAGTAAACACGTACGCGCGCGCGCGCGCGTACGTGGGCGAGTACACGTATGTATGTATGTGTGTGTGTATATATATATGTGTGCGCGCGCGATAGCAACGCTACGTGTACGTATCGTGCGCGACGATGTGCACTGCGTCCATCGCGCGCTCGCACGGCGATGTGGAGTGTGTGGTTTCGTGAGGAGCAAAAGCACGCGATATCGCGAGAGAAAGAGAGAGAAAGAGAGAGAATGAGACGACGGTCGACATTGCCGGCGATGTCGACCGAAACAGCATCATCGCCGTCACTGCGCGAAAACGCGTATCCACACACACTGCGTTCACTATGACCACTACAAACACTGTACAGATCGTCACGCGCCATCGAAAAATCGCACTTAATATATAGAGAAAAGAGAGAGAGAGAGAGAGAGAGAGAGAGAGAGAAAGAGAGAGAGTGAGAGAGAGAGAGAGAGATAGAGAAAAAGGAAGTCTACTTACTCATCTCCGTCGGGACAAATGCCGGTTGTCTCGTCGTACTTGGTGCAATAGTTGTCCGCGCTGTAGTTGAAGGTACGGTCCCTCTTCCTCACCGGTCTACGCCTCCGTTGGTTCATGAAGTGCCAGTTGAAGCACGTGAAGGGTCGGTGTTGCGTACACTTGCGTTGCACGAAGAGGGGACATTGCTCGACACGGAATTCCTTCAAATATCTGGAATGCGAATCCACAGTGCTAGACATTATTTTCGCTGAGTAGCCCCACTATTACTCGCTCGTCGGGCCGTTGCGCCGCGAGTACTAGTAGTAGTCGTTGTTGCGTCGTGTCGTCGTCTCCGTTGCCGCTCATATATGTATTTTTGTGGATCGTGGGACGCGCGCGTCGCGTTACAGTCGCGTTCGTTCGTTGCTCGCGGCTCTCCCGTACTTCTCTCTCCCTCTCTCGCGCTCCTTCCCACTCAAACTCGCGTTCGTACGTTCTCCGTCTCCCTGCCTCTCTCCCTCCTCCCTCCCTAGCCAACTCCGTTCCCACTGCTCGCGCGCACCGTTACTCTCTGTTTGTTTTATTCTCTCTCGATATATTTGATTTATTTTCCTCGCACCGTACACACTTTCGACAATGGTCGTACACTTTCTAGCACAAACGGCCAACTCGTGAATGCTTCTCTCGCGCTCTCACCCTCTCACTCTCTCAATCACTCCTCTTTCTCTCCCGCTCTAGCTCGCTCGCTCGCTCGCCTTCTCTCTCTCTCTCTCTCTCTCTTTCTCTGTCTGTCGCCGTATTTTTTTCCCTCGACATCGGCGACAGGGATGTACAATCCGCGGTACGTATACGTGCTTCTTGCCGAATGATCTCACTCACGTATCGCTAGGCACGCGAGCAAGCCCGGCCGGCGGGCGCTACTTACGTGTAATGGTTCGCCTTTTCCGCCTGAGCTGTCAACAAAGGTTTCGAGTCGGACTTCATCTTGGATACGACGCGAGCCGTCGACCAACCGCGCTCGCGCACGAACACACGCACGAACACGTACGGCTGCCACTGACCAACACGGCGCACCGCCTCGATCGCCGCCGTAGTCGTCGTCGTCGTCGTCGTCGTCGTTGCCGCCACCGCCGCCGCCACCGTCGCCGTTACCGTTACCGTCACCGTCGTCGTCGTCGTCGTCGTCGCCGCGACCGCTGTTGTCGTCGTCGTCGTCGTCGTCGTCGTCGTTCGTCCACTTCACCGTCCGCCGCCTCCCCTTTCTTGCCTTTACCAGCCCGGCCGAGCACGCACGGCTCCTATTGGCTGAAGCACGCTGGACGTGCGACGCGCACGACGCAATATGCGTTATATGCGCCCTCGCCGGCCCAATCGCGTCAGCCCATTGCGGTCACGTGACGCCGCCGCTTTCAAGGTCATTGATGTTTTGGTTCACGCGTAAACAGGCGTTCGCGAGCGACGATTTCTATTTGCGCCGCGACAGCGGCGGCGGTTGCGCTTGTGGACATGCTGAGTTGTCTTGTTCATAACGAGCGTGATACGCGTTCTGTGCTGGGATTCTGTAACTCGTTATTGGAGTTAACGACAGTTTCGTTATCGTTGCACAGTTTTTCTACGGTATACAAAAGCTGCGCAACGATAACGAAACTGTCGTTAACTCCAATAACGAGTTACAGAATAGAGCTACTGTAGCCCTATTCTGTAACTCGTTATTGAAATTGACAGTTTCGTTATCGTGAAAATATCTGTCCAATTTCGCAGCTTTTGTATATCGTAGAAAAGTTGCGCAACGATAACGAAACTGTCAATTTCAATAACGAGTTACAGAATAGAGCTACTGTAGCCCTATTCTGTAACTCGTTATTGAAATTGACAGTTTCGTTATCGTGAAAATATCTGTCCAATTTCGCAGCTTTTGTATATCGTAGAAAAGTTGCGCAACGATAACGAAACTGTCGTTAACTCCAATAACGAGTTACAGAATAGAGCTACTGTAGCCCTATTCTGTAACTCGTTATTGAAATTGACAGTTTCGTTATCGTGAAAATATCTGTCCAATTTCGCAGCTTTTGTATATCGTAGAAAAGTTGCGCAACGATAACGAAATTGTCGTTAACTCCAATAACGAGTTACAGAATCCCAATACTGATGCTTTACAGAATCACCCAAACCGTAATTCGCTCCCTGTCAGAAGCAAGTCACATCTGCGCCGTTGTATACTCGCCGGGAACAGGATTTCCTTCCACGCCGAGTGCGCGCTCTTGTGCCGTACGCCGTCGCGCGCTCTGTCGCTTTCTTTCAAAAGGAGCATCCGACGAATTATCAAGAATGAAAGATAAGGCGTACGAAAATGTGTCTCTTGACACAATGTTCTTATCTCGAGGATATCTTATCGAACAGATCATCGCACGTCTCGTTGATTTCACACGAGATCGGCCGATGCGTCGTCTACGCTCCTGGTATCATCTTCGACACGTTCATCGAGTTATGGAAGTTCTCTCTCTCTCTCGCTTGCTCGCTTGCTCCCTTCTTCTTTCTTCTCTCTCTCTCCCTCTCTCTATTTCTCTCTTTCTCAATATCTGGCTCCAGACACTTAATAAAGCTTTATCCACAGATTTCTACATATAAACTAGACTGCTAATACATTCGTATGTACTTGACCGAAAAAAGTCGCCGGTTGGAAAACTAATCTTTTAAATCGTTTGTACTTCGTATGAAGAGTTTTGAAATACAATTGAAAAGATTTGTGAGTCGTTTTATTAATTGTAATTAATTATTAATTTTTGGACCATGCATAGCTGAAATAATGGCCGGAGATAAATTAAACAAAGTTCCGGTATGGTATCGTTTGTATTTCGTATGAAAAGTTATGAAGTATCATTCAGTATCAAAAAGGTTTGTGAATCATCCATGTAATTTTAATTAAATATTAAAAAATCGTGTAATTGGCCGAAATATAGATTTCAAGCGCTGCTGTGAAAGTATCATCAGACACGATCTGTAATCTACTTTTTACTTTCTACTTTTAGATATTTCATAAATACATGATACTTTTTCATAATTTAATTTAGTGCTTCTAATTTTTCTACAATGTAATAACTCATTGTTTTGTAATATTATTGTTACATATTTTACGAAACTATATTATCTGATACTGTTAATTCTTATATATATACTATCCGTTACGCTATCCTAAAGGTCGGTTTATGATGGCCGTAATTCGTTAATTTATGGAACCGTAAAAATTGACCAATCAGTCGATTATTCTTCTATAATTCTACTTTAATCTACTCGATTTATCGGACAGCATTGAGTTGTCATGAATCTTAAAGATATTAGATGCTTGTGCCTATTATATTTTTCGGCCCTAATGAAACTAATTTATACTAGCACAAACTTGAATTATCGTAAACACCCATAACAGGAATGTGTCATAATGCAAAATTGATTGCTACATTACCTATACGTTGAAATAACATTACAAATAAAACGTTCTCCTGCATCGTCCTACAGGCGGAACATTTACTGTTACCGAGATAATAGGGAGTTTTTGCAAACATATGATATAGATATGGTAAACGCTAAAATGACGTCATCGAGTCAAAAACCAAACTGCACATGCGCATCGGTCACTTTAATGGCTCTTGCACACAGGACGCGGTAATGCTTGCCGCGCAGCGAAAATCCGCGTGACAATCAATCAATATGCTGCTTTCCGTAATAACCTTCTAGCTCTTACGGAAAGCAGCATATTGATTGGCTGTCGCGTGCACTTTTGCCGCGCGGCAAGCATTACCGCGTCCTGTGTGCAGGAGTCATAACGCTATTCACATAACGTGCGAACGTCATTTCTGAAAAATAGCGTTCACGACTAACGTTGACGTTATGGCTACCAAAATGAAATCTGAACGATTGAAATTTATAAGTCAAAATGATCTCATACTTTTAAGGGAGATTATATCCCAAAATCCATATGAAGAAAGTGAAAAACCTCCATCTTATTATAAAATACTGTTTTATCGTACGTTACCGTAGCATTCACCGTGCAAAAACTCTTTTGAAGGCGACGTAAAAACGGAATACGGTATGAAGTCACGTGACTTCAACGTTTACTGTATTTAAAATACGAAATTGCAAAACTCTCTATTAGCGTGACATTTAGATAATGTAATGATAAAAATGTTTACGGGCATTATCAGGTTGACACGATCGAAAAAGAACTAGGGCTCCTATTCTTAAAATTTTTGCGTATATGTAATTTTCATTGCGCAGCTATTTTATGGTATGATTAAACTTGCGCAGTAAAACTTACGTATACGCAACTATTTCAAGAATAGGGGCCCAGGACTATTGAAATACTAGAGATTATCGTGCTTGACGGTACTTCCACAGCAACGCTTGAAATCTATATTTCGGCTAATTACACGATTTTTTAATATTTAATTAAAATTATCTGGATGACTCACAAACCTTTTTAATGATACTTCATAACTCTTCCTACGAAATACAAATGATACCATACCGGAACTTTGTTTAATTTATCTCTGGCCATTATTTCGGCTAAATGCGTGGTCAAAAAATGAATAATTAATTACAATTAATAGAACGACTCACAAACCTTTTCAATTGCACTTCAAAACTCTTCATACGAAATACAAACGATTTAAAAGAGTAGTTTCCCTAACAGCACAGATATCCAGGGAACGTCCTGAGTACGTTCTGAGAACGTCCCAATATCCTCAGAATATCCCTAGAACGTTCTCAGAAGTTTTTGTGCTGTCTGGCTTTCCAACCGGCGATTTTTTTCGGTCAAGTATATACGAATTGCTAATATCCGTATTTAGCGAGTGGAAAAATATCGGGCGGCCATCTTTGAAAGTACCGTACCGTATAGGAGTAGTAATGACACGCACTATAGTATATTGCTTCCTCCCACTCACACATTGCCACTCAGTTCATGTATGTGAGGTCTTTTTAAAGATGGTGGACGGTATTTTGCCGATCAAACAATCCTTAACTAAACTATACCTATTTAGCAGTCTAGATATTATATGGAAGTCTGTGGCTTTATCCTCAACGCTATTTTTCGGCCAAAAGATGTGTATTATGTTAATTTAACAAATCGCCATTCTTCGATTAGTAGATGATATTTAAAGTTCTTTGGAAATAATTCGGAGGTATTTTCCAAAAGAATCGCAGATCACGTCCGAACGAATATGTCTCTATCAATGACGTATACATAGACCAAGTATTCTGTCCGCAAAATAAAGCCAAGTGAACGCATATATCAACGCACGTGTCCGCTTCAAAAACAACGAACGAAAAAATCGTCCATTTTCTCATGTTCTAAGAAGCGTGTGTACACACAAGCGAACTCGAGCGTCGATATACGAGGGCTGCTCCGTAAGTTTTGCGACTAGTAAGGAAAACACGGTAATTTGTCATTGAAAATGGCTTTATTGTTTTTTAAAGTATTCTCCATGATGATCAATACACTTCTGCATTCGCTTAAACCATTTATTATAGCATCCATACCACTCCGAAAGTGGTACCTCCAAAACATGTGTTTTAAACGCATCAACCGTTTCTTCTGGCGTCGAAAATTGTTGACTACGCAGTTTATTCTTGATGTTCGGGAACAAACAGAAGTCATTGGGTGCCAAATCAGGACTGTACGGTGGATGACCCATTAATTCGATGTTTTCACTGGTCAAATAGGTAGTTGTTTGAGTCGATGTGTGACAGCTCGCATTATCATGGTGAAGAATGATTTGTCGTCTTGAGTTGTTTTCCTTATTTGGCCAAAGACTTCTGGCAAACAAATAGTTGTGTATCACTCAGAATTGACCGTTCTACGTTTCTCTAAGGGTACTGTTGCCACATGACCAGTTTTTCCGAAAAAACAGGCGACCATTTGTTTCAAAGTGGTTCGAGCGCGAATAACTTTTGTTGGGTTAGGTTCACTTTGAAAGACCCACACTGCTGTTTAGTTTCCGGCTCATATGCATAGATCCATGACTCGTCACCTGTATAGAGGTTATATACGGCATTTGACGCACCTCGATCGAATTTCTTCAGCATTTTTTTGCACCAATTTACACGATCCTTTTTTTGAGCAATTGTCAAATTATGCGGGATCCAACGTGAACAAATTTTTCTTACGGCCAAATGTTCATATCGTTTGTATACAATTCATACCAACACCCAGGGATGCCTGAATCTCACGGTATGTCA